AGGGGAGAGGGGGGAGGGAGAGAGAGAAAAAGAAGGAAAAAGGGAAGGAAAGAATGAAGAAATGAACAAAGGAAGAAGAAAAAGCATTTCAGTGCTTACTATGTATAGGCACTGTTCTAAGCAATGGAGATTCAAATAAGAGCACGCATATACCACAAAAAAATTCAAAATGGATACATAATGTGAAAATTAAAGATCATACCATTAAAAAATAGTAAGAGGTAAATCATATACCTTTCACAGCTCTGGGTAGAAGATGTATTCTTAACCAAACAAAGGATAGAGGCAATTACAGAAGACAGCCCTAGAGTCAGGAGGACTTGAGTTCAAATCCGGCCTCAGACACTTGACACTAGCTGTGTGACCCTAGACAAGTCACTTAATTCCAATTGCCTCACCAAAAAACAAACCAAAAAACCAATTAAGTGGTCAAAGAACATGAACAGAAGAAGAATCCAAATTATTAACTATTTAATACATTTCTCCGAATACCTATAAAAAATGGCTCTAAACAAATCACTAATAATAATAGAAAAAAACAATCAAAATAACCCTGAAGTTTCCCCTCATATGCTACAAACTGGCAAGACGGCCAGAGATGAGAACAGTCAATGTGTTGATAACTTCTGAATATGTTGAAGGCTTTGGTCCTTCCTAAAATGATTGCCTCCAGGGAGGAATCACCAATGGGGGGAGGGGGCCCCCAGGACAGAGATGTCTATGGTTGGTCAGTTGGTAGTCAAGGAGAAGGAGGAAGAATCCTGAGACCACTAGATAAAGTCAAGTTGTAAATGAGGAAAACCATGGCCAGGATTTTTTCTAAAATGGTGGTCTCAGGGAAGGAGTTACCAGGGAAGGAAAGGAGAACTCCAAGGTAGAGGTTTCTCAGGGTGCCATTTGGCACTGGAGGATAAGGAGGATGATTCTGGAGATAGCAGAGTTGTTAGTGAGGTAAAAGCAAAGCTTGGGTGCTGCCTAAAAGACGAGTCATCAATGAAGAGAAGAGGACCCCAGGTGGATGTTTCTTAGGATGGCAATGAAGCAGCTGAAGAAAATAAGAAGGATTCCACAGAGTCGGAGTGAGTGAGGGGAAGCGTGCCTGGGGTCATTTCCAAAATGGGGGTCCCAGTGAAAGAGACATTAATAAAGAGAGGAGACACCCAGGGAGGAAGTTTGTCCAGTTCTCAATGGGCCAGTTGAGAAAGAAGGAAGATTCTAGAGAAGGTCTAGGTAAAAGGTGAGTGACACTTGATTTGATGGAGAAACACTAAAAATATTTCCATTAAAGTCAGGTGTTAATAGGGATCTGCTATGGTCACTCCTGCTTAACATAGTTTTAGATATTTCAGCAATAAGGCACCAAAAAAAGGAATATGCATCAGGAATGAGAGTAAAAGATCTCGATTTAGAGTTGACATGATTGTATACCTAGAAAACCCAACATGGTCAACCTCCTCCAAATTAATGGACTTCAGGATACAAGATAAATCCATAAAACCATCTTCATTTCGATATACCTCAACCGAGAATCAGGAGGTGTTGATGTAAATAGAAATACCCTTTTCAATAATGACAAAATACAGAAAATGTTTGCATGCTGACATTTCAAGACATACAAGAGACGATGACAGCTTCAAAATGATTGGAACAGCAACAGAGGAAGAAGTGCTTCAACACAAACTTAGGAAAAGCTTTGGTTTTTAAAGTCCTTCCTAAGCTGCCCCCTTCCTATCTTCCCAGTCTTCTTACAGCTTCCTCCCGTCCACATATTCTGTGACCCAGTGACCCTGGCCTCCAACTCCTGAGTAAGCACTGGCTTTCCCTATGTCTGCAATGTTCTCCCTCCTTGCCTCCCCTTTCAATCCCTTTTAATCTTAGTCCCTTCTCTCCTGGATTACCCTCAAGTGAGCCTGTGTGTGCGTGGGTGTGTTGTTTGTACATAGGTTTTTGCATGTTGTCTCTCCCATTAGACTATTCGGTCCTTGAGAGAAAGGATTGGGGTTTTTGGTGTTTGGGTTTTTTTTGTTGTTTTATGTGTGTTTGTTGTTGTCATTTTGCCTTTCTTTGTATCACTCCAGGTCTTAGCATAGTGCCCGGCACATAATAGGAGTTTAATAAATGTTAACTGACTAACTAAAGACATCACTTTACACTCACTAGAAGGGGAAAATTTTTTTTCAGAAAGTGATAGTCCAGTGCTGGTGGGGCTATGGGGAAATAGCCATTTGAATACATTGTTGGTGAGTAGAAATTTTTCACCATGGCAATCAAAATGGAATCAGTAACAAAACTTATCACACATTTTGACCCAATGATTCCATTGCTAACACTCTATCCCCCAAAACATCATGACAGAGGGGGGAGGGTCTAGCTGTAGAAAAATATACATAGCTACTTTTTCTAAGATCAAAAAATCTCTGTCCAACAATTGGAGAATAGCAGAATAGTTTGGGGTATATATAAGTCTATCAATAGAACAAGGCTTCTTCACCTTTGTTGTTCTGGGGAAACCGAGGGCCTCCTGCTCAGAATCACATATTTAAATGGCTAAAATAAAATACATAGGATTATAAAGGAAGCTAATTATATTCAAATACAATTGTCAAAATATTTTTCTCATCTAAGTTTAAATCCAGGGGTCAGCTAGGTGGCACAGCGAATAGAGCTTTGGCCTTGGAGTCAGGAGGACCTGAGTTCAAATCCAGCAGCAGACTTAACACTTAAGAGCTGTGTGACCCTGCGCAAGCCACTTAACCCTGATCACCTTACCAAAAAACAAACAAACAAATAAATAAATAGGTTTAAATCCATATCCTCTGATTTTAGATCCAGTATTCTTTATACAGGGTAGCTAGGTGACACAGTGCATAAAGCCCCAGGCCTGGAGTCTGAAAGATTTGGCCTCAGACACTTACTAGCTGTGTGAACCTGGGCAAGTCACTTAACTCTGTTTTCCTCAGTTTCCTCATCTGTAAAATGAGCTGGAGAAGGAAACGGCAAACCACTCTAGTACCTCTACCAAGAAAAACTCCTAATGGAGTCACAGAAAGCTGGACATGACTGAAACAAAAGTACAACAAGACTCGGTAGGGGGCCCTTTGAATGGAACGTTGCAAACAGGTCCTGCTCCACTTTTGCCTGGAACATCAGTGCTCAGTAAAGGCTTGGTAAGTGACTGATCGAACATTAGGGTGCTGTACAAAATGTAAACATGAAAAATATAAGGAAATACAGAAAGATTCACAAGAGGGGATACAGAATAAGATAATATCAGCAAAAGCAGACTGCTAAATTGCTATATGCTAAAACATTTTTTAAGGAGAAGAAGAAAAGAAAGAATAGTTGGGGAAAAGGTGGCAGCATTTTGGAGCTGCCTGTCGGGTATTCTGAACAAGGGTCTCTTGTTTCCTTCCCAACTGATTCTTTCAGTTTTTCCTCACCAAAGGCTAGGGGGCTGCAGCAGGATTTCTCCCCTTTGCTTTATGTACGTCTGGTAGTGTGCTCTGGGTAGTGCCTAGTTATGTTTATCGCAAAAAAGCAATAGGCCAATCTGATACACCTTTTTCATACACCATCTAATTCTAAGTTTCTATACAAATTCTAACCTTTAGCTTAAGGCCTTTATCCCCTTTGGAATCCAGATCCCACTGCGAAGGGTCACACTTTAAAATGTGGCAGTCAATCACTACATTTCAGCATGAATGAGGAATGTGAAAGCAGGTTGGGCTAGCTGAGAGAAGGGGAGGCCCAGAAGGGCCCTGACTGGGAAGGAAGAGAGGGGATTCAGTGGGGATGGCACTCGTCTATATCCCACTTTGGTCCTGGGCATGTGTCTAAAAGTCTGCAGATCCAGAGTGAAAGCAAATATGATATCGACGGAAATGTGAATAGATGAGGACATGACTAAGAGTTAATCTGACTAGGCTTGGATTTAAGATTGTTTGGCTGTTACATTACCATTAGGTTGGGCCAATAACTCATGAATGGTTGTGGCTCATGCAAGATGCCTCGGCAAGCACGAATGATCCCCAACGGCACCAGTGGGCTGGCCTCTACAGCCACTGGTGACAAATGCCATGATTAACACAAGAGTCCTCTATCCTGATCCAGAAGGATGGAGTTTAAACTCAGAACCCAGTGATTTGTAGTCACTGTTATTTCCCAAGTACTAAGTCAGCCGCAGGACACTTGACAGGTAATTTGCAAGAGGTCTGAACTGGTTAATCCATCTTCCAGAGGGTGGGCCGAAAACTCCTGAGAGGAACTCAGACAAGAAAAGACTGGCTGATGAGAAAAATCCATATTTCAAAACAATTTGCCACTAAAAGCCCTGTAATAAGCAGAGGTAGAATCAGAGCTAAAACAAAAAACTGGCTCGTTTGGTACACTGCCAGTAGAAGGAGACAGAAGTTCCTTTCTCTTTGTGGCCAAGAAAAGTATTTACTGTTTTTACAGGACACCAGTGGCGGCAAGCTAACTGTCATTGATGGCTTGCCCAGTGCTCTGAAACCAGACTGCGGCGTAAACACCGCCACCAGGGCAGTGGACCAAGGCCCGGCTGCTGCTTAACAAGGTTGGGGAGGGCACACCCGAGCCTGCCCAGGGAATGGAAGAACTCTAGCAGTGGGGCAGTGGGATACCATGAGGGAACATTCAGACCATTCCCTAGACAGTGCACTATTGGCTCCAATTCATTTCTTCCCAATGCCAGCCTTTTAAGACAGGACAAGCCTCACTGTAACACTGGTATGGAGGGGGTGATTTGGGTGACCATGGGAGATCAGGTATGTACTGGTTGCGAGCTGGGGGTGTGATCTGACCTATTTCCTGCTGAGCCATGTAATAACCACACTCTAAGAAGCTTGTGTCGAATCTGAGAGGGTCTCTGAGAGCAGGGGGTGGGGAGAGGCCCGAGGGGAAACAAAACTGTGTCTGCACAGGAGCCATGAGGGCCAGGTCTCAGTGAAGGGATGAATTGTCTTTAGAAAAAGGAAACTTACCATGAGAAAGGTATTTAAAATCCACAAAAATTTTCACAGATTCATAAATCACAGGATCATTAGGGTTCACCCTTCCTCTTGCTAAATGGCAGGAAAACTCAATTTGTTTTTCTGTTGAAAAGGAAACAAACACATAAAATAAGTTTATTTTTCGATCTTGACAAGTCCTGTCTGCTTGTTTCCAAAATATGTAAATATTCTCCGAGCTAGCTTGGGTCGTTGTTGTTGTTTGTTTGAGTGTCCTCTCAGTCTCCTCATCTATGAAATGGGAGCAATGTCTGTTCCCCTGACCTCACTGGGCTGTTGGGAAAGGGCTTTGGAAACTGGAAAGCACCATATATAGATGGGAGAGATTATTCATCGTTATCATTCACCGACATCATCATCAAGAGATTTATGTGGCATTAATTACTTAAATCGCTGAAAAGGTGAGTGGGGCGGGGGTAAGAACAGGAAAATCAACAGATAATAGAATCACTGAGTCTTAGTGCTGGAAAAGTCTGGAGATCATCTTGTTCATGCCCATTCATTTTACAGATGGGGAAACTAGGCCCCAACAAGAGGAAATAACTTTCCTAAGATCACACGGTAAGTGGCAGAATGGGGAGCGAAGATTTCCAAACCAGCGTTCTTTCTACTGCATCACCTCTTTTACATGAAAAAATGTAATATCTAAGATGAATGACGTGAGTCACACATTACCTGTAGAGGCTCTGTGGCATACAGCAGAGTCTGGGCTTGGAGTCAGGAAGACATCAGTTTAAATTCTACCTCTGACACTTACTAGTGGTAAGACCCTGGGCACGTCATTTTCCCCGTGTGTACCTCAGGCAACTTCTTAGGGCTTCCCTACTAAGTTACAGACAGGGCAGAGTGGAGGAGGCTTCCACACTGGGAGTTCCCTACATTAATTCTAGATCCCAGAAATCCCAGCTCCTTTTATCTACCCATAGATTAATGACAGTGCATTTCCAGTTAGTGACCACAAAACCTTATAATGGCTTGAAGTATCTAGTGCTTTAGAGTCCTATGAGAGAGGAGGGCCAAAGAACCATCCCCAAAGCTCACCAAAGCTTGCCATTTCTCCCTTCCAACCTCTTCTCTCTTTGTACCAGTCTCCCCAGCACCTAGAAACAGTGCCTGGAATGCAGTAGGCACTTAAGAAATCCTTGCTGATTGATTAACTGATTGAACAGCTGGTGCTCCCCTGGCAGCAGTACTTGCAACCACCTACGAGTGACCTTCACGCTCTAAGATGAGCCTGGCACTGAGCCTCCGTGGCCAGTAAGCAAATGCCCCTGAGCAGAAAAGGCCCTCCCAAGGAGTGCAAATGGGAGCAGAGGATCTGGAACAAGTGAGAGCCTTTAGTGTTCCTCTTCATCCCTTCTTTTCCTTCTCTCTCCCTCTCTATCCTTTCTCCTACTTCCCTGCTTACATTTCAGGCGAGCCAGAGGGCCTCTGGTCATTACTTATTTCCCATAGTGGCACAGTCAGGACTCCAAAGGTTGTTGCCTCTTCTTTTAAGTGAAGTTTTTACCCTTTCCATCTTAGATTTCTTATTTGTCTTTTTATCACCTCTCATAAGACCACAAAGAACTCTACTAATCCCTTATAAACTTTCACAATGTTCCTGTACGCTATAAAGCCCGATGTAATTCACAGGAGCAGTTCTGACCATCACCCATTAGAACTGAGATAATGGCGTTAGGAGCTGATTCCCTAATGTCAGTATTTTGACCAATGTTTGTGCCATCAGCTCATTATGGGTATTGGCTCTCACTGCTTCTTCTATTTCTCTCTGCTACTTTCCCCTTCACACCAAAACACTTACCATTTAGAAAATCAGCAGTGACAGGGGCTGGCAGGATTGTCTGTGGAGAGAGTATCTTGAAGACTTCCTTGTGCTCTTGCTCAGGGAGAAGGGTTAATATATTCTGGCATACCAGCTCTGACTGATATAAAAGAAAAGTCTGTCATCTACATATTTTATTACAACACAGTTAGGATATGGCAGCACTTTGGTAAATGAACTAGGATGCAACTCTTGGTAATGGTTTGTTTTTTTTTTAAACACAGAAGAAAGTAAGATATAAAGTGTCTTTTGGAACTAAATAATTTGTTTTAATGAGTCCAAAACTGAGATGGATTTGTCATTTGAATAAAGTAGCATTAATTATTTATAGTTACTCCAACATCCCAATGGATCTGTGGATATGCCCTCCAATGAAGCAACTCATACATATGTGCCTGTCCACCCTGTGTGCCTCTTGTCTATGTCCCCCTTAAAAAGTTCCCCACAGGGGGCCCACCCAATGCACTGGAGGCCTTCCACCATCAACAGGATACCAGTGGAATACTACAGCTTCAATCCCTTAATCAGCTATGGACTAGCTCATCCGCAGTTTAGCCGCTGAGACCTGCCCAAGTGAAAAGCTTGTTGGGAAGTGAGGTGAGGGGAAGGCAATCAAACCTGAATTAGTAGATAAGTTTAAAAAATTATAATCTTACTGAGCTATAAAAATATAGCTTTTTGTTAGCATTTCTGGCCTCAATGAAAATATTTCTGTTTGGTTTAGTTTTGTTCTTCAAAATGATTTAGTTTTTCTTTTTCTTTTATTTTATTGGGGCAGCACTGCCCTTCCAGTTTGCAAATGGGCTGGACCACACAAATGGGCAGTTTCTGCATGTGGGCCATTCTACATCAAACAGTGTGCCCATCCATTCATTATTTCATTTTTTGAAAGTAGAATGGGAAGTAACATTTTCATTTAAGAGAAATCAGAGTAACTCTGTCCTCATGACATTGATTCTCAAGGGGGTACGGACTATGACAATTGTTTCTAAATTAATTTCCTGATTTCACTCATATGTTAGTGTCTAACCAAAGCACCAGACTCACTTCTCAGCAAGTAAATTGGCAGACATGTTAACAATCATTCAATCAATCAACAAGGCCTTAGTAAGCACTTACCATGTACCAGGTACCCGACAAAATGTTGGAGTTACAAAGAAAAAGCCTCAACAGCCCCTACCCTCAAGGATCTTATATTCTGATAGGTGAGTCAACATGTACCCAGGATACATACAAAGTAGCTGGAAGGTAGCCAGAAGATATAGGACAGTGTTAGACTCAGAGTCAAGAAGCCTGAGTTCGAATTCCACTTCAGACACTTTCTAGCCATGTGACCCTGGCCAAGTCACCGAACCACTCACTGTCTGCTTCGGGTTCTTCATCTATGAAATGAGGATAATAATAGCTCCTATCTCCCCAGGGTCGTTGTGAGGATAAATTGAGAAAATACACACGAGGTGGTTGCAAACCTTAGGGCATTCTATAAATGTTGTTGTTAGTATTATTGAAGGTCACTTTAGATGGTAAGGCTCCAACAGCTGGAGGAGTCTGGGAAAGGCCTCCTGTAGGAGGCGGCATATGAACTAAATCTTAAGAGAAAGCCTGGGCTTCCAAGAGGCCAACAGCCAGTGCAAATGTTAATTCCTTGCTCCCCTTTTCTATCAGCATCCTGTTTCTCTTGTTAGAGCAGTAGTAATGGGCAGAATGAGACCAGTCCAGCAAGCTTTGTGAAACATCAAAAAAAAGGGGGCAGCATTCCAAAAACAAGTACACTAATGTTAGCTGGCTGTTGGTAGCTCCGGTCACATCAAAGAGAGAATGTGATCCACGTCGAAGGAGCATACCCTAGTTGATGAACTGCATAGCTAGACTGAGAATCTAAGAAAGAGGCACATCTTTAGGGGGTTCCTTCCTACTCGGGGCATGGGAACTTCATTAGGAAAGGTACTAATCTGGCCTGTGCTGAAACAGAGCATCAGCAAATCACGAGCAGATTGGAGGCTCCTGGAGAGGACAGGAGATTCCCAACATCAGTCCTCATCAAAGCACTCAAAAACCCATTAGGTACTGTTTCATATTCTGCCCTGCACCCCTGATCTCTCTAATCTTTTCTTCCCACTAGATTATAAGCACCAGAAAGGTCTTCATCAGACTCATTCCATGGGTGACGGTGCCTGGTTTCATTCATGCTTTGGATCACACACTATTCCATCCATGCCTCTATTCCAGTCTCTCCCTGTTGAAATGCCTTCCTTGCTTCAAGGGTCTGGAGTTGGAAGAGACCTAGTCCAACCTTCTCATTTTCAGAGGAGGAAACTGAGGCCCAGAGACATAAAGTAACTCACCAAGTGTTCAATCAACACTTTTGAGCTGAAGTGAAAGCAATTCTAAGGAATTCTCTAGCTAAAATAGCCAGAGTCAAACCTAGGACCTACCCCTACACAGCTCTTAGAGCCACCAGCACAGCCCCAATCATATTAAAACACAATTGGGAAATATTTAACCAAATAAACAAAAATATACGAAAACATAGATCATACTCATAAGTGATTTTCTAAATCAATACGTGGCCTGCAGGGATCCTTTTATACCCCTTAATGGTTCTGTTTCTTTTTGAGTGTGATACCACTGGCCAAGGCAGTTTGCAAATTTCACAGGTAAAGGGAGCTTACTGCATATGTCTTTATGCTATAGCCAGTTAAAAATCAACAACCTTACTTCCTTGGGCCTTTCTTTCCCAAAAGTAGGCAGTCAGGGAAACTTGTGATGGGGGAAAGTCTGCTACAGAGGAAATGAGCTGCACAAGGTAAACTAATAACTCTAACTTAACAATGTCATTTTGGTCCTTTTCAACAACAAAGGACAACACTCGACCAATGCAATAGTCTCCTTGTCTCCAATCTCTCCCTACTCCAACATATCTTCCACTCAGCTGCCCAAGTGATTTCACTAAGTTATAGGTCTAACCACATCAACCCTCTGCTCCCAACCTCCAATGGCTCCCTATTACCTCTAGACTCTAGTACAAAGTTAGGCAGTTAAGGCTCTTCACACCCAGGCCAGTCTTCTCCTCTTCCACACACTCCACGATCCAGCTGTACAGGCCTGCTTGCTGCTCCATACACACGCCATGCCACTTCCTATCTCTCAGCCTTTGCCCTGGCTAGACCTCATGCCAAGAGTGTTCTCTCTCCTCCTCACCTCCACCTCTTGCCATGCTGGGCATCTTTCAAGATTCAGCTCAAGCACTGCCTTCTGCAGGTCCCTCAGCCACTAGACCTTTCCCCTCAAAAGCGACCTTTCTTCTGTGACCCTGCCACCCTGCATTTAGCTTATATGTACCTATGTAAACCTTGTCTTCCCCATTCAAATATAAGCTCCTTGAGGGCAGGAACCGTTTTTCTGTGTTTTTGCCTTTATTTGTATGATAGGCCTCTATGACCACAAGCATTTAATACATGTTTGTTGATTAACTGAAGTCTGCCCTTTGAGTAATCTGAAAACATTCAATTAGATCTCTTAGTAGCGAAAGAAAAAAAAAATGAGCTATGCATGCCTTGGAAGAACTGGAATGCCTATGAATATAAACAGGGTAAATGATAAAAGAATATCCCAATCAAAGTCTGTGAATAAGATTAAGGATAAATTGATAACAAGGCTTCATGGAAACGGTACTAAATTATAGTTAGGGGGTCATTTCTTTAAAAGCTTGCATGGTCCAATGACTTTCAACTTCAATGTTTAAATTCAGTCATTTTAATAAGGAGCTATATTTTTACTTTCAAAACAGGGTGTGCCAAAACTATGCTAATTTCTCAATTGAGGGTGCTTGTGGTTTAAGCCTAGTAGTTTGCACCATATTAGCAAGGGTCTCACTGCCACCTGGTGGCAGTGTACCCCAAGTGCAGGATCAAGCTTGGAGGGGGGGGAGGGGTAAGTCTTTTGAAAGTTGAGTCTGTGTGACCCTAAACATATAAAGGGACAACAAACGCCATTACAATGAAGACAGATTTTCGAGGGTTAGTCAATTACAGAATCACTAACCCACTTAAACCTGATCAATAATGGAAGAATTCAGTCAACGCACCCAAACTGGCCCTACAAAGGACTATGGGTATTCCTTTGGGATTGGGTTGTTATGGAATCTGGGCTACTGTGGCTCATGTGTTCCGTATGAAATAGATCCAGGAGGATCTACTTCATTGTACCTGATCAACATGATAAAAAAAAATTAGCTCTTTCAAGTGTTCTTAGGATCCTATGGGTGTAAATGGATTCAAATAATGGAAACTACTTCTTCAAAAAGGAAACTTAAGAGAGGAAATTCCAGAATTTCTTAGGAAAGCAAAAAATGCAGGAAAGCACTGAGGGTGTCCAAGGGGGCTGTTCTCACAGGCCTTAAAGAGTGCAGGCAGCTCCCGATTTGTCTTTGCCTCCAATCCCTCGTGATGTGATGTGCCATTGGAGACTCCAAGCATTCCTCTCAAGTCTGGAGTTAGCAGTTGCCAAATGTCAGGAAGAAACCCGAGGCAAGAGTAGGGAATAGGCAGCAACAGGACTCGAGCCAGTTAGGGCTAAAATCACCATCCCAATTAGCTGGGCTGCAGAGGGAATGTGCTTTTCTATACATGAATGTGCTATGTTTATATTTTGCAATTTTTATGAGGATGTGTCTGCTCTCCCTTTCCTGGGTTGCTATGGCTAAAGGTGCTGGTGGCCAAGCTGCTAGAATGCAGAGAGGCCGGCAGTGTCTAGCAAAGGCACCAGGCTGGAAGCCCTTCCAGCCAACCAGACGCTGCCAGGGCTGGCAACTAAAGGAATAGTGATCACGTGCCCTTTCACAGACACTTGTTGAAGAGACCGTCTACCCCTTTCCAGCTGCTGTTGCCCGTGCGCCAGTATTTGTGCTCAGCCATGTAATTGCTTCTCTAAGCTTCTAAATGAGCACATAATTTGCCCTTCAATAGAAAAAGACAAGTAGCTAATTACACCTGGAAATGGCTGCCATGACCTGGCAATAAACAAATCCAGTCTTTTATTGTTTAATTAAGTGTCCCTTCACATGGGAGGTGTGGCTCAAAAGCAGGGATTCTTAGCCTTTCTTGGGCCATGGACCTCTCCGGCAGCCAGGGGAAGTCTATGACTCTCTCCCCTCCTCCAGGCTCATGTTCTTAAATACATAAAAATCAAATATATAGGGTCACAAAGGAAATCAATTACATTGCAATAGATAATCGAAATATTTTTCAAAATACAAATTCACGGACACTGGGCAAAGAATCCCTGTTCTAAAGTAATGTGACTAGTATTCTGCTGTAGTTGTTTTAACCAAGTGAACATTGTCCCTTTCAAAAGCGTTTCCTTGGGATGATCCATCCAGTCCAACAACACTGATGTTGTGTCATATGTGTTATGGGACACTCTGCAGAAATTGCCATCACAGACCACTCATGAGCCTGCCCAGCCTCATTACTTCCTAGTCCCAGCTCAGTTATATAGATTGCTATACACAATAATTGCTATATAAATAAACCCATCAAAAATGGAGATCACCTGTCAGAAGAGGGGCACACACCTATATTAAATGCCTTCTCTTCTCAATCACCTGCTTCATCCAGCTAAAAGGCTGAGAAAGTCTCAGATAGTGGTGAAACTTACCGGTAGATGGCCCAGCAGAGAAGAGACATTATCAGATACATAAATAATTATTCCCTCGGTGGTCAGGGCAATCAGAAACTCATCCAATGCCTATTGAAGAGAAAACAGTACCACCCAAATGTATTTCTAGATGCAGTTACAGAATAGGATGACAATACCGTGTTAAGCTTTATTTCTTTATTTCACCTTGGCCCTTCCCCTCCCAGAGTTTCTAGTACTTTCATGAGACCTCTCTGAGACTTCGGGTAATGTGCAAGGCCCAATTCTAGGTGGTAGCAAGGGGAGGGGGAAGGTGAAAGGAAGATAACAGGAATTGGAAAGATGATTGGAAACAGTGTAAACGGAACTCATTTTAGTCTTTGTACTTGTATCCCTAGTACCTAGAACTATGGCATATAGTAGGTGCTTAATAAATGCTTGGTGATTGCTTGATTGATTGGAAAAGTAAATGAAAAAGGATACAAGTTGTTGGATTTTTCCCCTAGTCCTAACCACACAGAAAGTGGGTTGGGGACCCATCAGGAATGAATCAGAAGGCCTTCATGGATGCATGAAGGCCCCATTTACGTGTAAGCCAGGCAAAGCTTCAGGCCTGACTAGAATCCAAGAGCTGGAGTTAAGGGGATTAGCTCAGTGGCAGGTTGACTGGCTATCCCACTAAAATCTCTAGCTCCCTCCTGAGGGGTGAGCACAGTAGCTCTTGGAGTCAGTTGCAGCAGCATGGTAAGTGCTAGACACCTCCAAGCTTTGGCAGGAGTGAGAGGCCAGGGCAATGCTGTAGAGAGGTGGGTGCAATGACGGAGCGCTGAAGTGAGAAGACATATGGGTATGGCAGGGAACTGGAGGACTGGAGGTGGAGACGGGACGAAGCAGCAACAGAAAGCAGAGCCACAAGGCCCAAACCTGGGCCTTGGCCTATAATAGGTGGAGTGACTATATGGATACCTAGGGGGCAGGGAGCCCACCAGAAGAGAAAGTGTCCTGAATGTCTATGGGCTCTGCTATGCTGTCTTTGTGCCATTTTAATAAGACCTGTCCTATGCTCCAGGCCTCGTTAGCCTGGAGTATTTGCAAGAAAACCAACTGTCCAGGGAACTAAAAAGAAGCCAAATCTTGCCAAGGGTCTAAACGTTGGGTGGGAACAAACATGAACCACCCAGATCATTTTCAGGAATCTGCCCCCTCCCTCCCCAGGTTGAAGCCAGTCTGTTAGAGGAGAGGAGTATAAGAACACCAGATGCCACAGAGGTAGCACCTGAAGATATAAAGCATTAGAATGTTCTTAAGCTAGGCCTCTGATGTCATTGGTGTAGGCGGGGAACTACCATTGAGGACATTCCTTTGGAGGCAAAGCAGTGCCCATTCCTCAACTTCCAAGTCTTAGAGAGCTGCCTAGGGCCCCAAGAGCTTAAGAGAGCTGCCTTGGAGTCCACAGCCAGGAGGGCAGGGACTGGACTTGAACCCAGGGCTTCCTTACTCGCCCAGTTTTAAGTACCAATTATACAGCAGCAGGAAGCTAAGTTATATTCCTTATCTCCTAGCACGTACTAAACTTCACGTTAAGCAAGAGATTTGTAATAAATCTTGTGTCACCGCGCCCAACTACTCCCAAATAACATACTTTGCACCATCAACTCTGCAGTGCAAACTGAACAACTTTACCCTTGTGTTTAATTTCAGTTTTACCTTAACCTCCTTTAAAAAAAAAAACTGCTGGAAGGATTTCTGGATTTCTGAGGATATTTTTATTTAGAATTATTAAAAATCTTTAAGGCAAAAATTCCTAACCGCTACTAGTCAAAGGTGATTCTCTTAACTAGGAAGGTCCCTGAGAGGTAGTGAGGCAATACTGGACAGAAGGTTGTCTAACCTTTCACTACCAGTTAGGTACTAAAAGCAGCTGGGTGGTGCAGTGGATATAGCCCTAGTCCTAGATTCAGGAAGACATTAGTTCAAATCCAGCCTCAGACACTTGCTAGCTGTGTGACCCTGGACAAGTCATTTAACTTCTGCCTTAGTTTTCCCCATCTGTAAAATTGGCATCATAACAGCACCTACCTCATGGGGTCATTGTGAGGATCGAAAGAGCTAAAATATGTAAAAGCACTTAGCACAGTCCCAGCGCATAGGGAGTGCTTAATAAATCTATGTTCGTTCTTTCCTTCCTTCCAAAGGCAACAAGGTAAGTTGCTAATTAGCATCAGTGGAGAGAGTTTCCACACTGGAAATTCCCTACCCTGGGGAAATGCCAGGTTCACCTCCACAAAGGAACACACAGACAAACGAATAAAGGTCCTCACGGAGCATGTGCAGTCATGGGGAGGGTCACTGTCCCTCCCTCCGTTCACAGCCTTATGGCAATCTTCCGACTGTGCTATTCCCATCTTCCCTATCTATGCATTTTTTCCCTTCCCAGCAATGTAGGCAAAAATTGAAACCCCTAGAGCCAATGCTTATGTTGCTGGGGAATGGAGTCAACAAGGATCATCAAGGAACCAGGCAGCTGGCAGCCTCTCCTTGCATCCCCCAGTCGCAACAGCCGTCCCTCATTACAGGCTCTGCTCTGCCTCAAGCAGATGGTGCAATCGGGAACGTGACATGAGGCCAAAGTTCCCTCAGAACAGATTCAAACGGGTCACTGCTGAGGCATGAGACCTCCGCCCCTTCACCCCAGGCCCAGATTCCACCCCAACTCCATCCTCCAGCTAGAAGCAGTTCTGAGGAGGGGAACACTGAATGTTCCCAAGAGATCTTGAAAGGTACGAGCTGGGGCAGTAAATTGACCTGAGCTCTTCTGTCTTCTTCCTGCCCAGGCCCTCCCAGGAATCCTCCAAAAGGGGTTCATCCAACATGCTGGAGAGCCCTCATCTAGACCTCTCACCAGCCTGTGACCACCAGTGAAGCATCAGGTATCCCCCGTGCTTTCTTACCCCACACCCAGCCATCTAGCTCTCTGATGGCATCCCTTCTGTTGCTCTCCCAATATAACTCTTGGGTGGTGATATAAAAAGAATCACTCACAGAATCATAGAATTTCAACTGAAAGTGTCCTCAGTGGCCAACAGATCCGTCCCACTGGGTGCAGACCCATAGGTCGCAAGCTCCTCACTACCACCATGTGCCGCTTCACTTCCACAGTAAACAGAAGCGCACCAAAATGGAAAGGGCCATTTGAGTTGTTGGGAGAATACACCGAGGGGTGTTTTAACAACCAGCTCTCTGGGCAGGGGAGCGCAATTAACATTTTCTCCATTACTTTCTTAAATCGAGGCAAGAGGACAACAGAATCAACAACTCCTAATTTGGAATATTTACAAATGCTCACAGTGAAATTTTCAGTTAGCTCTCCCAAGCCAGCTCAAGCTGGCTTGAGCACAGTCCTGGATCCACAGAAATAAAGGCCTATAACCAAAGCAGGGCATTTACAGGCCACCCAAATGTCCATAAATTAGTCCAAGTGGAAAAGCCACTGAATGCCACACTCATCCTAGGTGCTTCATAAATGCTAGCTGAACTGGGCTGGATTTAGCACATGTGGTAGAGGCAAGGCCTGCTTCTTGGGTTAGAGTAGACAAATGAGGCTGGTATCACACATGGACCTTATAGCTACATCATTCCAAACCGTTCTTGCAGTAGTGGAGCCATACTGTCTTAGTCTGTAGCCATATCATCTTAGTTTGGTTACTTACAACTTACAACTACTGACCCATAGCCCAGAACTCTGATACTTATGGCAGTGAAGCATAGTGGAAAGAACACTGGCTCTTGAGTCAAAGGGCATGGATTCAGATCCTGCCTTTGATACTTACTAGCTGTATGACCTTGGGCAAGTCACTTAATCTCCATAGGCCTCACTTTCCTCACCTGTAAAATGAGGAGATTGCACTGGCTGGCCTCTGAGGTCTCTTCTAGCTCTGGTATCTCTGATCTGATGGCTGAACAAGGTTAGGAGTACACTCTGTGACACTCTCCTCTACACAGCTGGCCTGATGCAAAACTCCACTTTGGAGCCCGAGGAGGATTTGCGAGCTTACGTGATCAAGGCTGGCTCTGTACACTGATTGAATCCCCTAGGTAATCACTAAACTCCTCACAATTTGGCCGAAACTTCCCGTTCCTATCCCAGTGACAAGGTCTATTGTATATCTTCCATGTACAATGCATACACATTTTAGAAGGTTTCTTACCTCAAACATCAACTGTGTAAATTCCTCATTGCTAAGAATTGATGGTTTCCAGGCCCCTCTGGCACCAGCAGCTTGTGCCTGGGTTTCCTTTTCTTAAAAGGAGAAAGAAGCAAGGAAGGAGAAGAGATTGAAATGACTGTAGGGAATATCTCCCCTTTTTCCAAAGTTACAATCCATTCTGGAGCAGAGGCTCCTCTGAAATCATGCTGAGGTTTTACTGGTGGCTAATTGCTTGGCACTTGAATCGACCCTGTGTTTATCTTTGACCAAAGGAAGCATTTTAGTCTATTGTCACTCTTACTGAAGACAAAGGTTCCCCCCCCCCAATATGCCTCTCTGAAGTTGGGTTCACACCAAGCTTGGCTTGGTTCATACCAAGAGTTTGCCCACCAACTAAACCACCTCTTTGGGATATAGCAGCTCCAGAAGAGAGTAGAAGGTGTCTGCACACCAACCAAATCATGGATTCTGGAAGTACCAGAGTAAGTATGGCATCCAAGAAAGTCACCGTGGACCCCTCCCATCTGTGTGGCATGTGGCCTTAGCCTACATAAGATATTGGTAGGTTACTTACTTAATAGGCTGGGAGCCAGATGTCCCTTAGTAACAATTAGCAACTGCCTTGAAAAAAGACCATCTCAGATGCAAAATTTTCCTGGCTTATAGCAGCATGGAATAGTGAGCCAGCCTCAGAGACAGGAGGATTTGGGTTCAAGTCCTGCCTCTGCCATATACTGTCTTTGTGATCCCGGGCAGGTCACTTAACCTTTTGGTGCCTCTCTAATAAAATTCTTACATTGCAGAGAGGTGCCAATGTGTAATAGGAGAGGGAGTTTCCTCACTGGGAGTATACCTCCCTCATGAAATCCTAGGGCCAGATTAAAAACAACAACAAAAAAATTCCTTATAGCAGCTTAGCAAATTGAACCAAAACCAAAGTGGCATTGCATTTAAACACTCTGGACATATTAAAAAACAGCCCCCTTTGGGGGCAGCTAGGTGGCACTGTGGATAAGCTCCGGCCTTGGAATCAGGAGGACCTGAGTTCAAATCCAGTCACATGACACTTACTACCTGTGTGACCCTAGGCAAGTCACTTAACCCCAATTACCTCACCAAAAAACAAAACAAAACAGCCCCTCTGCCTATAGCTCTACTTTAAGGAAAAGAGGGGATCATAGATAAAGATCATTTGGTCCAACCTCCTCATTTTACAGATAAAGAAACCAAGGCCCAAGAAGTTTAAGGAGCAGAGCCAGGAGTCAAACCACCAAGCTTGGGGCTTTACTACATTATAGCAAAGAATCAGTGCTTAAAGCCACAGTGTACTAAGTGGGTACATCTGGCCTAAAAAGGGCACTTTCTGAAGTAAGCACAGGCCAACTCTGCCAGAATCGTATAATGTTTAATGGCTAGAATGTATACTGACCACTTCCTCATCCCCAAATCCTGTAGTTAGGTGGTCAAATGTGGGGCTGACCTCTTTGTCTCTGCTTGACCCACTAGTGTGTATCCATGTATGAACTTGAAAAACTGCAGGCTACCCTTCTCAAGCTTCACTGATCCTGAGGGATAGCTCCAATGTTGCCATCAGTGAACCTCAATATATATTCCTTATGTGGCTACTTCCACACTCCCTTGGCTCAGAAAATACCCAATCAAAACGGCAGCCCAATAGCTACTATCTGGCTATAAAAGTTGTCTAGATAAATGGGAAAATTGGGAACAAGTTGTAGGTTTTCATGGCCCTGGACTTCTCACCCAGGAAAAGTCTCTCATGCATGCATTGCCAATTTCATAATATCATGGAATGGTAAAAGCTAGAAGGCTCTATAGGAACCATCTAGTTCAACCTTTTCATCTTATAGCAGAGGAAACACAGGCTCACAGGAGTGAAGTGACTTGCCCAGGGTCACAGGATGAGTTAGCAGCAGGGGCAGGACTAGAACCCAGGCCTCCAGACCTAGCTCAATTTTCTTTCGCCCAACTTTCCAATTCACTGCATTTCCTTGTCTTTAGAAGCAAAGAATAATGTATTCCCCCCAACAACACTTGTTAAATGTCTCACTGGAAAAAGATTCTGTGACCTTTTCAGTGTTCAATTCTGCTTACCTCTAAATGTGCCACTAAGTTAATAGTTCTCCCATGCTGCCCTTTTAACAAAGGATTAAAATCCCCAAACCGCTTGTAGTCTAACCTAATTATTCCATTACTACCTCTTAGATAAATACAATTGGAAGGTTGTAGCAGCAGCAGAGATGAGATTTTGCCCAGTTATGCTTCTAATTATTTCCACTTTATTTTTCTTCTTTTGCATTGATTACAACGACATTTAAGCACCTGTCACAAACACGCTGCTCCCATGGAGAATACTAGATTCTAAGAGCTGGACAAGACCATTAGAGGCCTCCCAAGCCTGACTGCTTCCCACCCCCGGAGTATACTCCTGGGAGAATGACCAGCACAACTAGACTGTCTAGAATGTATTTTCATATTGGAAATGGAAAACCACAGGCCTGGCACCAGGCCCCCCCCAAAGGTACCTTTCTGCTTGTGTAAAAAGTCAATGGTCTTCTGTAATATGGTAGCCTTATCCATCTTGATGGGCTGGCCTTGCCCCTGAAGCATGCTGCAAAGCTCTTGAATGAGAACATTGAACTGATCTCTCCTTTTCTTTTCTGACTTGTTCCGGGATGCCCTGGTTAAAGAAAATACAAAGGCGTCACCAGTAAATGTGGTGCTAGGGATTCAGAGGGAAGGCACTGGCTGGGAAAGCAAAGGGACAGGAATAAGGTGGTGACTCACTCTGGGGTGGGGGGGAAGGTTAACATTTGAGCAACTGCCATCCATCTTATCCATTCATTCTCTGACATACCATAGCTGACATTCCAAATTTCCTGGAAGCCATTTCATGGCCTCTGTTCCATCATGTTGTCTTAGCAGCCACCTAAAGATCATATCACAACACACTCTATCTAGCCATCACTATACCCTAGAAATGATTAAAAAGAGGGTTGTATCAAAGCCAACACTAAAGGAATTTAGAAAGAAGGCTGAACTGGAAACACACACACACACACACACATACACACACACACACACACACACACACAACCCTACATCTAAGCAGTATTTACTTGTTGATCCATGAACTTGAATCTGTCTGAGCTCTTTGGACTGGCTAAATAGGCCTCCAGGCCCAAGCAGTAATCTCATGAATGAAAAGGCTAATGAAGCTTATTTTAGAATTGTGCTTTTCATACCTCTTTAACCTGTCCTTCTCTTCTTCATCCATCACTTCCTTTAAGCAACCAGGTTCTGAAATCAAAACAGAGCAATATTTTATTGAGTTCTTCAGTTTTTATTTTCTTGGTAGTGACTAAGAGTTAAGTGATATGACTAATTGTACCTTTTACTTACCAAGCATTTTTTCCTGCAAGGAATTCTAAGTGCTTTTCCGAGTGTGATGACATCAAACTCCATTAAACCACTAATGTGGTGTGTGGATGGGCAACTAATCTTAGGTGCTTTTATTGTGAAAGCCTCACTCAATATCTATAATAATCCATTACAAATGTATGTATTTGCAAGGCTTTTAAAAGGCCATTTGCAGTGCAGGTACACAACTTCTCTTAACTTAAGAAATAAACTCATTGTCAGCCTGGTCTCTTAAATGAGTTTAATTCCTACTCTCTTCTACAGAAGTTAAGTAAGCAGAGGGAGTTGGGAAATGACCAGTTTGTTCCAAGCGATTGACCCTCCACAAGAAAGAAGGTGAGCAACGCCTTAAAGATGGGAATGGAACCAGTTAACTGAAGGGGAGGGGTGAGTTGGAAGCTAGTTTCTCTGACAAAGGTCCAAGATAAAGAAGGAATGGATTCAAACTTTTAAGTATAAGAGCCATTCCCTAATTGATAAATGGTCAAAGGATAGTTAACTTTCAAAGAATGAAATCCAAGCCATCAAGAATCATGAAAAAAACACTCCAAATCACAAATTGTTAGAGAACTGTAAATTAAAGCATATCTGAGTTCTACCCCAGACCTACCAGATGGGCAAAGATGACCAAAAAAAGGAAAAGAAAAAATGATGGAGGGATTGAAGGAAAACAGGTATAGGGATGCATTGTTGGTGGAGCTGGGAACTGCTCCTGCCATTCTGGAAAGCAATTGGGAACTATGCCCCCAAAGTCACTTACCAGCAAGACCACTATTGAGTCCTTACCCCAATGAGATCAAAGAAATATGAAAAGGATCTAGACATACACAAATATTTATAGCAGCTCTTTTTGTGGTAGCAAAAAACTGGAAACTAAGAGGGTGCCCATCAACTGGGGAACGGCTAAACAATTACTACATATGAATGTAATGGAATACTATTATACTGTAAGAAATAATGAAAGGAATGGTTTCAGAGAAACCTGGGAACTGATGCAAAGTAAAGTGAACAGAAACAGGACAGCAATTTATATAATATTGACATCATAAAAACAAACAATTGTGAAAGATTTAAGGACAGTGCTCAATGCAGCCACAACCATAATTCCAGAGGACCAGTGAGCAAACAGGTGACCTGCTTCCTGACCTAACTGTGCTGGACCCAGAGTACCTAATAAGACATGCATTTTTGGACACAGCCAATGTGGGGATTTGTTTTGCTTGACTATGCATATCTGTTACACGGGTTTAGTTTTTTTTTTGTTTTTTCCCCAGTGGAGGGGAGGGAAGGGAGGTGGCAGCAGGAGGGAGAAAATAAATGGCTCCAATTGCCTACAAAAAGGGGGGGGGCAGCTAGGTGGTATAGTTGCTAGAGCATTGGGCTTGGAGTCAGGAGGACCTGAGTTCAAATCTGGCCTCAGGCACTTACTAGCTTTGTGACCCTGGGCAAGTCACTTAACCCCAATTGCCTTCTAAGGAAAAAAAAGAAAAGAAAAGAAATGCCTGTTAATTGAAAAAAATTAATAAAAAATAAGTGAGCTCAAGGTTTATTAATGCTTTTCCAGGTATCTGAAGGAACCTGAGACTTAAGAAACAAAGGTTCTTTTTCTACTCAGCTTCTAACCTACTTTCACTTAGACCCTACTAATATCCATCAAAGCCTAAAAGTCAAAATAAATGTTAAGGACAACTAAGAGAATTCCTGTGTGCAGAGACAAAGCTTGCACGCATGTCTAAGCCCTCCATACAAACATGTAAGCTCCTCGGGGGTTAGGATGAGACCCGATTCATCATCCTAGATTGGAAGCTCCTTGAGGGCAGGGACTGGCTTTTGCCTCTTTTTGTATCCCCAACGCTTAGCACCGTGTCTGGCACACAGCAGGTGCTTAATAAGTGTTTTGTGAATGAATGAAGAGACTACCTACCACAGGGTCTTGTTCGTACACAGTAGGTGCTACTCAATACATGTCACTAAATAGGAAAAAAAATAGCTTACAGAACACTAACGAGTGACGATGCTAGGTACAGATCTTGATCTTCCTAAGCAAAGCTCTGTTAGGCAGGTAAAGAAGACACGGGATTAATCTAAAATAATGTAGCAGATCTGGAAAGTCATGGAGTCTGACATCCCCCCTCCACCATTTTACACACAGAGACAACCAAGATGAGGAAGTGAGCGGCAGGATGAGGATTAGAACTCAGTTCTCCTGATCCCACTGCACTATGGCAAAGACGCTACCATGATTATGAATCCAGAAAAAAAGGAGGAGAAATGTAGCACCCAACATTGCAGGTGAGGTAGCAGGCAGCTCACCTCCTCTCTCCTGCAGGGCTCATTAAGTGCTGAGGTCTCTCATGCAAAGTAATTGATCCCAGACAGGAAGGCGGTGCTCCAACTCCTGTCCCTCCCGCCCTCGACCTCCAATTGGGGAATCACTGAGGAAGGAAATGTACACCCTTTCTCTTCCCCCTCCAGGCTACCAGGGTACCCTCCACTTCTCCAGTGCTGATCTCTATTAGCTGACAATGCTCTCACCCTTGGGATGATGGGAAGCCATCTGCTGGACCTGGAAAATCCCAGTGCTGCCAACATAAGTAAAGAAACACTCCCGGAAGGAGGCTCTGGGCTGGCTGCCCACTGGGGGGATAGGAACCACTAGACTGACCTTTTTCAGCAAACTGGATGAGAACACAAGGCTCGCTGCTAAGGACTGGGACACCAAGGTGGGTGGGGTAGTAGAAGCCATTGGGCCACGTCTCAGCCGTGGGCAGAGCAGACCTGTTTGGAATCAGTGTCCTAGCAGACCAAGCTCCCCAGCTGAAGCCCAAAGCTGCCTGCCTACCATGCTTCCTTCCAACTTAATGCCTGACAAACTGGAAAATGGCACACTGAGAACAAGAGTTTGAAATTATTCTGCAGAAAAATTAAAAACAGAACCACAACAAAATTTATATTAAAAAGGCAATCTTTTCTCCCCACTTAATTCATGGGGAGAAGGCAATGCAGACCATGATCTGGGAATGGGCACCCAGAGGTGCAAAGCACTACTGAGCTGCCTGCCTGCAAAGCTCCCTGACCTTTCCTTCCCAGAGTAACTGGAGACGGCCACTGGCCATCACAAGGCTCTCCACCAAGAAGGCTGAACAATAAAGAGCTGATTTCTCAACCAACTTTCTCTAACCTGGACAGCTGATTCTTTTTGTACTTCACACGGAAAGCTCTGGAAGGAATTTCCCATGGACAATCTGCCTTCTGTTTCTTAAAATCTGCCTTTTTATTTGCAAGCTATCGTCCTCATTATGTTCAGCTTGGCTGGGAGTGCCTGAGGTGCCCGGGCCCCTTACCCTGGGAGATGCAGCGTTTACATTTAATTAACCAGGACAGACAGACAGAGATAAAGACAGACAGACAGAAAGACAGAGACAGACAGAATGAGATATAAGGGGAGACAGAGAGACAGACAGAGACAGAAAGAGAGAGACACACACACAGATAGAGACACAGATAGAGAGGGAGAGAGAGGGAGGGAGGGAAAGAGAGACCGAAACAGAGACAGAGAAAACAAGAGAGAGAAACAGAGAGACAGAAACACAGAGAGAAAGAGAGAGAGCATGACACAAGAGATAGAGAGAGAGGAGGAGTGATAGAGACATAGAGGCAGAGACACAAAAGAGACAGAGAGACAGAGGCACCAGAGGGACACAGAGGGTGACAGACAGTCAGACAGAGACACAAGAAAGACAGAGAGAGAGTGACAGCAAGAAAACCAGCGAGCCAGAGATGGCCTGCTGTCCCTGCAAAGTCTACCTGGTGGCTTGGCCTCTTTGGATGTGGACTGGCCTGCTTCCAGGACAGCGTCCAACCCAGCCTGCTCCTCACTTTCTCTTGTGTTAGTCAGTGGCATGGTTTGTACTCCTCCTTCTTGTACCTATTAAGAAAAGAAAACAGAGTTATGTAAATGGTAGTAGCAGTAGCTATATCTGGGAGAGTGATTTGCACATTGTATGTTGTTAATAAATACCTGTCAAGTCACTGAATGGACAATACACAGACAAAAACATTGCTCTTTAAAGATGCTGGCATATGATAATAGTAGTAGTAGTAGTAGTAGTAGTAGTAGTAGTAGTAGTAGTAGTAGTAGTAGTAGTAGTAGTAGTAGCAGCAGCAGCAGCAGCAGCAGCAGCAGCAGTAGTAGCACACATTTATTTAGCATCTGCCATATGCCAGCCACTGTGCTAAGCTCTTAACAAATATCTCAGTTAATCCTCAAAACAAACCTGGGAGGTAGGTGTTATTATCCCCATTTTACAGATGAGGAAACTGAGACAAACAGGGGTTAAGTGTTAAGAAAAATTCTTTCTGCATGTGCTCATTTGGCCTGGTTGTTTTACAAACAAGACCCTCCATCTCTCAGTTCTGGGCAGTCTCTCCGGCTGTCCCCCCCATGCCTGGATTGCTCTCTCTCCTCCTCTTCAACTACTGATCTCCCTGGCTTCCTTTGTTTTATTTAGTCATTTCAGTCATGTCTGACTCTTTGTGACCCTATTTGGGGTTTTCTTGGCATAGATACTGGAGTGGTTTGCCATGTCCTTCTCTGGCTCATTTTACAGATGAGGAAATTGAGGCAAACAGGGTTAAGTCACTTGCCCAGGGTCACACGGCTAGTAACCATCTGAGGCCAGATTTGAACTCAGGTTCAAAGATGAGTCTTCCTGACTCCAGGACCAGTGCTCTATCCCCTGCACCACCTGGCTTCCTTTAAGTGCCCAGCTAAAATCCCACCTCCTACACAAAGCCTTCCTCAAGCCCTCTTAATTCCAATGCCTTCCCTCTGTTAATTATTTCCTATTGATCCTGTATATGGCTTGTTTGTATATATCTGTTTGTACGTTGTCTCCCCCATAAGATTGTAAGCTCCTTGATGGCAGGGACTGTCTTTAGCTCCTTTTTGTATCCTCATTGCTTAGCACCATGCCTGGCACACAGCAGGCATTTAATAAATGTTTATTGATTGATCCATGCTTATGAATAATATTTTCCATACAAAACTGTCAGATTTATGGCATAAGTTTCTAATCACAGCATGATCAACTCAGCTGGCAGGGACCTTAGAGGTATTTTAGGCCAAATCCCTTAGTTTACAGATGAGGAAACTGAGACCCTGAGGGTTAAGTCACTACTCTAAGATCACACAGGTGGTAAGTGGCAGAGGCAATCACTTTGGTGATCAAAATATTTGTGTGTCTCTAAAATCACAAATCTATCATTTTGGGCAGGGGTCCTTAACCTTTTTGTTTGTCATGGACAAGTTTGGTGAAGCCTATGGGCCTCTGCCCAGAATAATATTTTAAATGCATAAAATAAAAATATGTAAGAACACACAAAAAAAACCCAGATTACACTGAATACAGATATCAATTTTTAAAAGCAAACAAACTCAGGTTCATGGACCCCCTAAGTCCTTGATTTAGGGATGTTAGCCCTTCTTCTGACAGTATGCTTTAGGGAATTTTGGGGTGACTAGACTTAACTAGATTATAAGTAATTCACAGGTAAGAAAGAGCCATATCTTCTATTTTGAAGCACCTTAGCTCTTGCCCATAGTAAACACTCAAAGACTGATAACTCCTTGAACCATTTTTTCTCCCATTGGAAAAAAAGGATTCCCAAAACTAAACTCACTCCAGCCGCCCTCCATGTGCTCATCTCTTCTGAGAGAAAACAATCAGAGAGAAACTACTCATAGAAAAGGCATTAAAAACATAAAAGAGGTTGTGGGTCAATACTATCAGATATTCCTAAGTGCTCAGCACTGCTAGGTGCAAACTAACATTTAATTAGAGCAGTATAATTTTAAATCGAACAATGAGAAAGCTTAAAAAGCCTTGGCTCCCACAATGTGGTTATTATTAAAATGCAGTAGAGGAATCCTCCCCACAAGCCCCCCTGTCTGATACCTCTTTGTGTTTGTAGGGCTGATCCTGGGTATCACGTTCAGGCCTGGGGATGGCCTCTGTCATTAGCAACAAGCATGGCTAAGTTCAACAAGAAGCTTCATGCCAGAAGGTTGGGGTCGGGGTAACTCTTTATAAAGCCAATTTACCTGCACTGCCTACCTCATAAGGCTGGTGTGGGTGATGTGCTTTGGAAACTCTCACACCCTGTAGATCAAAGCCCTGCTGTATCAATGGGTGGAGTGCCCACATTCACAAAAATCATACATCTTTTAACATACTGAAAAAGTATGGGAAGGCTCAAAATCACCTTTTAAAGTGACTCATTTGGGTTTTTCATTTTGTTTTTATTTTTATGCCTTTTTGTTTTGGTCTTTCAATTTTCTGGAACGTTTTCCCTTCATAAGTCAAGACCAAATATAGAGAGGAAAAAAAACGGGCTACGGGAATGGAAGATGAGATCATTTCATAATTAACAACTGGATTTCTTTATTTCAGATTTAATCACTCAGACATGGCTAACTTGGTCAATTGTGATGAGATGTATAATCAAAATGTAATTGAGATAAGGTGTATAATCAAAGAAGTCTCCACTCTTAATCCCTCTGTTTCAGTACTGCCAGGACATAAGCCTAACAAGCCAGGCCTCAGACTGAGCAGGATCGGCTCTGGACACTTGCTGAGCAAATCCCTGGGAGTTCTCCTGAGGCTCCTACAGCATCCTATCTTAGGTTGCACCAAAGGGCCAAAGCAGTCAAACAATCTATATAAGATATATCCAGTCACATCTAGTCAGACAGACAAAATTCTCAACACTTAAAGATGTCAAAGGCTCAGTGCTGAATTAAGCTAATTCAAATAACAAGCATTTATGAAGGACATACTGTGTGCCAGGCACTGTGCTAAACATCTTTATAAATATTATCTCATTTGATCCTCACAGCAACCCTGAGAGGTAGGTACTATTATTATCCCCATTTTACAGACAAGGAAACTGAGGCAAACAGCATTTCATTGACTTGCCCAGGGTCACATAGCTAGTAAGTATCTAAGCTCACATTTGAACTCAGGCCTTCCTGACTCCAGACCCAGTGTTCTATTCACCATGTCAGTAAGCCCACTAGACTGATGTTCTAGGCCTCACTGGTTGGGCAACTACCTAGAACTATTGTGCGCATGCCCTGTGGCTAGTCAGCAGGCTGATTAACTGCCAGGCCTGGGGTCAGGAATAGTGCCTTGAACATAGTAGGTGCTCATTCGTTATTTACTATTATTATACTTATAACTATTGTCTGGGATGGGGGGAAACCAGAATGATTCATGAGAGAACATCAAGGCTCCGGTTCGCCCTGGAGCTAACTTTACTGGAGTAGCTAATCTTGATGATTGTACTAGATAGATTCTCTCTCCTTCTCAACCCCAATTGAAGAGAAAAAAAAAAGAATACATTTCAATTAGCTGTTCGGGAACTATTGTAATAACAATTTTAATATTAAAACACATTAAATATATAAAAAGAAACGTATTAATGATTCACAAATTCAAATGAACATTTGGAATTGTTAACTCATTCACTTTTTCTGCAGAAAGTTGAATTTCAGTAAGGTTTTACGCGCTCCACATCTCTCTCTGCAGCACCCTACATTAAACAATGGAATAATGAGTGGACAGGTGATGGTTGGCAAAGACAATTAAAGATAACAGAAGTGGGAAGAGTTATTTGAGAGAAAACAGAAGGCCCCAAAGTGATGGGATCACTGCTCAGGATACATGGGACAAGAATAAAGTAAGACAGACAGATGAACCAACTGTTTCATTTTTCTTCCGGTTTCTCTGACAATGGTCTTTGGACCAGAAAGGACAGGAAGAAAAGGTTGCTATGAAGCTGATGGCTAAGATAGGGAGAGAGACAGCAAGAGAGCCCCATGCTTCTTGAGACGAGCTCAGAAAAGCAGGCCCAGAGGATATTCATCCCACAGTATTGAAAGGACACCTGGATATGATTACTGAACACTGTCAGTGATCTTTGAAGAAATATGGTGACAGGTGAAGCAATACAGGACTAGAGAAGGGCTTGGCTCTCATTAGTTTAAAAAAAAAAAGGTGGTGGGAGTAGGGAGAGTGATAGTTTGCAAACCACAGGCTACTCAGCATATCCTTGTTTCCTGGCAAATTATGTAAGTGGGGATCTCAAAGCACCAACTTAAATTCGAGAAACTAAGTCCCCACTTTTTTTAAGTCTACCTTTGTGAGGTGTGAGCAATACCATTCAAGTGCATTTAAGAATAACCAGGCTATCATGTCTAAAATATATAGAGAAGGGGCAGTTAGGTACACAGTGGATAGAGCACCAGCCCTGAAGTCAGGAGGACCTGAGTTCAAATCCGGCCTCAGACCAAACACTTGACACTTAACTAGCTGTGTGACCCTGAGCAAGTCACTTAACCCCAATTGCCTAAAAAAAAAAAAACCCAAAACAATAAAATATATAGAGAATTAAAACAAATTTATAAGAACACAAGCCATTCCCCAATTGATAAATGGTCAAAGGATATGAACAGACGGTTCTCAGATGAAGAAATAAAGCCATCCATAGTCATATGAAAAAATGCTCTAAATCGTTATTGATTAGAGAAATGCAAATCAAAACAACTCTGAGGTACCACATCACACCTATCAGATTGGCCAACATGACAAAACAGGAAAATGATAAATGCTGGAGAAGATGTGGGAAAATTGGAACATTAATACATAGCTGGTGGAGTTGTGAAATGATCAATTTGGAACTATGCCCAAAGGGCTACAAAAATGTGCATACCCTTTGATCCAGCAATAGCACTTCTAGGGCTATATCCCAAAGAGATCAAACAAATGGGAAAAGGACCCATATGTACAAAAATATACATAGCAGCTCTTTTTGTGGTGGCAAAGAAGTGGAAATTGAGAGGATGCCCATCCACTGGGGAATGGCTGA